CCCGCGGGGGGGGCCCCCCCCCCCCCGCGCGCGCATGTTTGCCCAATGTGGTCCGGACTCAGTGTTTGTGGCATTTAATCAACTTCTTAGTTGGTTTTCATTGCTGAACACATGCTGCTTTGGCAGTAGTTTAATGATAGTTTATTTAATTAGGTTTCCTCATGCGCAAATGTAAGATGAGGGGTTCCCCCCTGCTCCCCCACCATGCTAATGGGTGATGGGGCTGTCTTGTATTTGAATAAATGTGGTAGATGATCCAGCATATCAAAGTGTTACTTAAATGTGACTGAAGACTTGTTCGCCTTCAGTACTAAACTAACACATTCTTTTTGCTTTTCAGACAAAGTACATGAAATTGAGATGAGTGTAGATGGTGATGATGTGATGAATAGCTCAAAGGTAATAAATGAAATCTTTGATGAAATTCTTCAAGAGGATGGTCCAGACATAGAAAAATTAAAAAAAGAAATGAGTATGAACCTGGAAGCTGAGAGTGATGAGGAACAGGAAGAGTCGCTGAATATTTCTTCTATGTCTCTGCTAACTCCCTTAGCAGAATCTGTTGGTGTTGTGAGTCCAGAGGTGAGAGCAGATGTTCAAATACAGGGATTTGCAACACTATCAGTAATGATGTGATAGGTGTTTTTTACATGAGAATCTCTGAACAAATATGAATGAAAGCTACTTATAGATTTCTTCTAATGAAACTTAGCATAATTAAGTGAAGAAGCAATGGAGTTCTTTACATTGGCATGAAAATGTCTTCAATTTTAAGTTGCTAATCTAAACACTTAATAAAACAGCTTGAAATCATGATTAACAGCCATGTTCATGAGCAATAGTGTGTACCTTATTCAATACAAGGAAGCACATGCTTTCCCAGCCTTCCTTCTGTTCTTTCCTGCTTGCATACTTACTCAGGACGATTTCCTTTCTTTCGATTCTCCCTCATACATGTTTATTTTATGATCTGCCTTTTTCTCTTGCCTTCTCTTCCTCGTTTTCTCCTTATCTTTCTTCCTTTCTAGTACATCCTCCGTAGTGCTTCTCTAAAAGCTTGTTTCTGGGTCACTTCTCTAGTGTGAGAATAATATTTGTTCCTATGGCAATCTCCTCTATTTGGTGTTTTTCTCCAGGATAACTGAATTTTTCTCTATAATTTAACACTCTAAAAGCAACTCAGGGAGACTGTCTTGAAGGAAAGAACTGTTTCTGCTTGAACCATAATTAATTTACTATCCTTCACTGCAGACCCTGCAAAAGCAGGGAAAATACCAATTATTCAAATCTTTTTCCCTTTTATTTTTCATATTACATTGGTACTGAAATTTGTGCTGTATATTGAAAGAAATGCACAGTGTCAGCTTTTCCTTGCAGCCACTGATTAGAAATAGCTACTTGTCTTCTGGTACTTGGCCTGTCTTCAGTTGGTGTGATGGCAGAGCACCAAAAGCATGGTTATGCTGCATGATGGCTAGATTGCTTTTGTGATAGTTGAGCTAGTTTGTTTAAGGCTAGCTGGGGTATTTATATGCTACTGTAGACTTACCCAAGTCAGGCTGGCTACATTTTAACAGTAAAAGCTTTCTTGACAAGGGAGAGAGTTGGAAGTATTCACCCCACTTCTTAACATCAACTTCATAGGAACAGAGCAGGATAAAGATGAAAAGGAATTTGGAGATCTTTGCAGTTAAGATTTGATGTAGGGGTGTAGGGATAAAGCCCATGTATCTAATTATGTCTGTAGGAAACAGAACTAGGACCAGTGGCCTCACATGGCAGGAGAGGAAATTTAGGTTAGAGATTAAGAAGAACTTTCTGACTATGAGTGTGGTCAGGCACAGACTACATAGAGAAGTTGTGAAATCTCCATCCCTGGAAATTTTCAAGAGCGTGTTATACAGACACATGGCTAGGATGGTTTAATTGGGGATGATCCTGCCTTTAGCAGGGAGCTGAACTAGACAAGGTCCCTTGCAGCCCTTCTAGACTATGATAAATGAGAGGTTGCCTACCTCCAAGAGAATATGGAGGAGAGTAAACAAGGGTAGGAAGGAACAGAATAAATTTATATGAAACAAGTTATTTATGAAACATGATTCTTCCCTCCCTCCTACTCCCCCACCAGGGTTTTGTCTCTCCTAGTAGGTCAGCTGGTGAGGGGAGCAGCACAAGCAATGGAAGCCCAATGTCTGGCAAGTACCAAAGAACACAAGTTCCTAGAGCAGAATCAGGGGACAGCATTGGATCAGTATCGGAAGATCGCCACCTTCTATACAGGTAACTTCTTTATGTCTACTTTGCTTGAGCTATATATGTGGAAAGTGTTTTACTGTTATTAAGATAGCTATTGTCATTATATTAAAGTGTTTTTTCTGAGGTGGAGATAAGGAAGCTTGATAAAGTTTTGTATTTTCCCTGGCACATAACTAAATGGGCTAAGGAGTTTTGCAGTGATGGAATTCTGTCATTCTCAAAACTGACAAGGAGGGCTTTCCTCCAGAGTTTAAGCCTTACTAAAAGCCTCTCTTATTTATGAAGCCACCTTTGATTGCCACAGCTTTGCCTGGAACAAAATATTGCAATAATTTTTTTTCCATTTTTTAAATAAGTTGATACCAACCTTTTTTAAAATTGGCTAGGTCTATGGCTCCCTCTACATTTTACAAGTAGTGTGTATTTAACTGGTTATTTGAGCAGTTACCTGGAGATCAACTACATGTGTGAAGTACCGTTCGTACCATAAAGCTCTAACCAGCTATAAAGTTAGACCTTGAAAATGTGTATTAACTTCATAGCTGGTTGCTATCAAGCTTTAATTTGCATATGTAGTAGGTTGTCACCTACCGCTGGGAGCCCCATCAGCTGACAGGGCTCCCAGCAGCAGGGGAACACCATGCCCAGCCAGGGCTAGGAGTCCCGCAACTGAGGGGCCTCTCAGCCCCAGCAGTTGCTGACTGGGTCCCAGCAGCATCTCACAGTCGTGGATGCTGGGTCCCTGCAGCATGCCTTCTGGAGACCCAGTTGGATCCTGGCAGCTATGGGGCACGGCTGCGATCTCCCAGCCTTGGGGGTGTATGGAACCCTGGGCGATCATGGCTGCTACAGTATCCCAGCCCTGGGGGCTGCAAACTCCCCAGCCTCGATCTCCCAGCCCTAGAGGTGCACTGAGCATCACCGCAGCTGCAAGCCCTTCATCTGAGGAAGCTTCCAGCCACAGGAGCTTCTTGCTGGTGCAGAGGGAGCCTGGGGTTGGACTCTCCCTGCTCTGGCAATAAGGTGTGATGGGATCCAATGTGTGACCCCTGTCACACCTCCTGCCATGCATCTGTGTCATGACAGGAGGCATGACTGTGGCTCACACATTAGAACCCATCCTGCCTTGTATGGATAGAGGCCCTAGGACAAATCTAAATACCTTACTGCATCATTAAAGAATGCTATGCTAGTTAGGCCCTGTAAACATTAAGTGTATTTGACAGTGAATTCTCTTCTTAAGCATTGATGCATATAGATCTCAAAGATTTAAAGAAACAGATCGTCCTTCAATAAAGCAAGTGATTGTTCGCAAAGAAGATGTTACTTCTAAATTAGAGAAAAAGAATGGAACTTCTGATCAAGTTAATAATATTAAACAGAAAATGCAGGTATCTGTTTGTATTTTTTTTTTTTTAAGTCTTGCTGCTTTCCCTGTAATTTAAAAAAAAATGTTCATTGGATTATAAGTGTTACCTAAATAGACAAGGCCCTTAATTTTGCTTATATTTGGGACGCAGTCAGCAGAATTTAGCATAACATGGTGTGCAACTTGGTAGGCCGATTTTAATGCCTGAGTCACTCTTTGTTTTGCTGTCCACAAAATGCACAGCTCTTAAAAACTCTGGTTTGTGCTGCCATTTCATGCTTACAGCTTTTGAGCAAGTTGTTATGATTTTTCTTCTTTTCGCTGTAAGTATTCAGGTCTCCTTTCTCCCTGTGTAATCTAAATTTTTCATAAACCTTACTGAAGAGTACTACTCTTTCAGTTCTGGCTTGAATGTTGGATGTTGACAATTAACATTTTTATGGACTGGTCTTTTATTGCAGTAGGGAAAGAGGAAGGATATTGTTGAGGTGTAAAAGTGAAACGTGTCTTGCAAGACATGTAGTTTAGTATCTGTTTAAGCATTTGTTCCAGTGTATGGGAGCATAGTTAAAAAGTGCTGTTCCAAAGGCCCTTCTTGCACATCCTGGATCAAGTAACAAAATGATCTTGTGGCTTCGCTAATTATTTTCACTGTTGGATTATATACTAGGAGTTGAATAATGAGATCAACTTGCAACAGACTGTGATTTATCAGGCCAGCCAGGCTCTGAACTGCTGTTTTGATGAGGAACATGGAAAAGGGTCACAAGAAGAAGCTGAAGCAGAAAGACTTCTTCTGCTTGCAAGTAAGTTTTTTAAAGGATTGTGAATACTCAAGGCTGATTGCTTGATTTACAAAAATGTTTGTAATGTTAGCTTGTCCCCTCAAGAAACTTTGAGAAAGTGAAAGACCACTTTGTTATTCTCTGGCTTTTAGTTATAACCTGCAAGAGAAGAGAGAGTTGAGTTGAATAAGGGGCACCCTTTATTTCCTCTCTATTCTCCTGCCTCATTTCTTGCATTTTGGCATTCTCAGCAAATTCTTCATAACAAGGCACTCACTGGAAAATGACAAAATGCGTCTAGGCTGGACTTTTAGTCCCTTAATCACAAAACAGTTGCAAGTAAAGGAGACTGATTCTATACCACTTCTAATTTCTCCTTGCAGCTGAAAAGAGAACTGCTTTGCTTGAAGAGCTAAACAAACTGAAGACCGAGGGACCTCAAAGCAAAAAAAATAAAGCTGCCTCTACATCCCTGGTGTTTGCTCCATCCAAAGGAACTGTCACTATTTCAGAAATGCGTCTACCTCTAAAAGCAGACTTCGTTTGTAGCACCATGCAGAAACCAGGTAGGCTGCCTTCCTATGTGGTTGGGGGGGTGGGAATGGCATTTTTAACTGTCTTGGATGCTGGGGTTACCTGAACTCACAGGGTCTTAAAAGGAGATTTTTGTGAATAGGATTCCATCTTCTTAAAAAAAACAACCCCTAACCTCCTTTTTAACCTCCTCTTAATTAGCTTCCATGGCAATACAGTTCTACATATCTTAAGCAGAGAGGAAAAATGCGTTCTCTTGCCTGTTTTGGTTGATCATTGTTTTAATTCTATCACTTTTTGCTATAACTTTTTAAAAGCTAGAATAGTACCTTAAATCTAAAGCCTCGTGTCTGAGCATCTTGTGACCACAGCTCACATGCTGTAACAGTCCTGGTGAGGCAGAGTCTTACAATAATTATCCATTTTTCTTCACTTTTGTGGGACAGATTTCTGTATGTATGACACTTCAGTTACTGTTCATTTCCTACTACCAAATGAGGGATTTTTTTAGGCAAAAATGGCAGATTCAGATAAACAGAAAGCAGAGGTGGTCAAAATATCCCCAAAACACTTCTAAAAATTGTATCAAATTTTACATTTCAGCAAACTTTTTGCTAGCTGAAACTGTTCTTCCTAGAAAGGTGGGAGGAAGATGTTGAGCTGATTGAATTCTGAGTCTGCAAGTTACTTCACGTGATTTTGTTTGTTTTGCCCTTGTAATTTATGAACACTTAAGGACCCTAATTTTAAACTGAAATGAGATGGATGTCATTAGAACTAGTAACATGAACATGCTCTGAACTTCAAGTTGTTGTCCTTATCAAAACATGGAACGTTGCTTTTGAGTTTCTTTGGGGTTTGCTTTTTTCCTCTAAAGGTCTCATATCTGGTCTGCTCAGTTTTTTTCATGAAAGGTGTCATAATCTTGAATTTTAGGTTTTGACATGTACTGTTTCAATTTGTTTTTCTGAATTTCTAGCCCTGCACTTGAACCAATAACCTGTTTTGAGGGTTGGTTTGTTTGTTTGTTTTTAAACAACATTTGCTCATTAAATGTAATTATTTGGGCTTCCTGGGAGCCAGGAATAGTTCTTCCAAGAAGTGACTAGAGTTGAGAATTTACAAGTTTGCTTTGACTAATTAATGTGTTCTTATTTTATGCAACACTAGTGCTTAAAGATAATATCAGGTCCAGTGGCTCTTGTTTATTGATCCTGGGTGGTATAAGAAATTATGTTTATAAACATCCTGTTTTTAAGTTCTTAAGAGTGCTGATATGTTAACTGTATTTTCATGTTATTGAATATAAAATTAAATCATGGTTGGTGGGTGAGAAGAACAGATAGCTATGATTAACTTCATAACATGTCACAGTAGTCATGTAACTCATTTATACAATTCATCATAGGCAAATGATTTAACTACATGTATTTAAACAAGCTTCCTTTTTCACTGATTCTGCCAGCTATAACACAGGCATTGATTAAACACATTGCTCACTTCCAGTGGTAATAAGGGAATTGTTCACTCTACAAACCATAGGATTGGCCACAAGACTATGCTCCAAATTCTAAACATTTTAAAAAAGCTTCCTAACTCCCTCACAGCAGAGAACTTCAAATGCCTGTTTGAATCTACAAGGAGCCTGCCTGGTACAATGGCTCTGAGAAGAGTGAATTACTCTGGGTGCCATGGACTTTGCAACCTTGAAACTTTGTTTTTCTTGATACCATGGAAATTGCCACTTGCTGCAGCATGTCTGTCTTTTTTTCTTTCCTGCAGCCAGGCACAGGATTCTTCTCTTACTTGTAGGCATGTTGTGGTTGGGTGCCTCTTGTTTCGTACCCTTCCCTTATGGGTAGATTGTTGGATGACTGTACAGGCTCCTTTACTTATTTCTGTAGAAATAAGTAAGAAGAATGCAGCACAGGAAAGGAAGAAGCCAGGTTGCAGCATAAGTAGCCACGCTGCCTAAAAAATAGACTAGAACCAGAGACCTGGAGGGCTAATGTTTATTGCTGAATCTGACTACATCAGGGGTAGGCAACGTTTTTTGGCCGGAGTGCCGAAACCCCCCACAATACCTACCTTAGAAGGTGCCACAGTGCCAGCATGCCAGAAAAACAAAATGAGGGCAGGGGATACATGGCAGGATGCCCTGCTTGTGCCCCCTAGCCCGGGCTCTGACTGTCAGTAGCTACCGAGAGCTGGGGGGGCTGCAGCTGGGAGGCTGCAAACAGCTGCGCCGGGCTCCGGAGCCCAGGCATCAGCTCTGTACTGGCCTGTGCATGTGCGCCTTGAAGCAGGCAGTGGGGGAGGGGCCTGAGGCAGCACAACCCCGGTCTCTCCCCCGCTCCCAGCACAGCCCCGCTCCCAGAACAGGGCTGTGGCCGGGGCTCCGGAGCCCAGCACAGCTGTTTGTACCCAGCCTGGGCTCTGGGCAGCTGCAACAAGCAGCAGGCAGGCTGCAAACAGCTGTGCCGGGCTCCACAGCTCCGGCATCAGCTCCATGCTGGCGGTGACTGCATGTGCACCTCAGGGCAGGCTGTGCTGCCCTGCTGTCTGCCTTGAGCTGCGCGCACAGTCGCCACCAGCATGGAGCTGTGGAGACCGGCACAGCTGTTTGCAGCCTGCCCGCTGCTTGCTGCAGCTGCCCAGAGCCCAGCCTGGCTACAAACAGCTGTGCTGGGCTCCGGAGCCCGGTGCAGCTGTTTGCAGCCTGCCCGCTGCTTGCTGCAGCTGCCCAGAGCCCAGCCTGGCTACAAACAGCTGTGCTGGGCTCCGGAGCCCGGTGCAGCTGTTTGCAGCCTCCCGGCTGCAGCCAGCCCCGGCTCTCTGTAGCTGCTGCCAGTTATGGAGCCCAGGCTGCTTGCAGCCTCCCTGCTGCCTAGAGCCAGGGCTGGCTATGGCGTTCTAGGCAAAATGGCCTTGCGTGCCATGCTCAGCACACGTGCTGGGGGTTGCTGACCCCTGGACTACATACATACACTGGGTAGGATAAAACTCAGCTGAGTTGCTCAAATACTGTTGTAACTGCTGAAGCCTGTAGAGGTGAGCACTGAACATAGTGGAAGGAAAGTAACCAAAAAGTTACTGTTGAAAATAATGAATTCAAGAATTTTTAACTGAGCCATACTTCAAATGTGTGAGAAGGATGGGGAAGGAGCCTTTCAGTTCTTCAAAAATCTAGCAGTTCATAGGGTTCTACTGAAAATGGTCTCAAATTTGTCTACAGATGCAGCAAATTACTACTACGTAATATTATTGAGATCTGGAGCTGAAAATATGGTAGCAACTCCCTTAGCAAGTACTGCAAGTTCCCTAAATGGAGATGCTCTTATTTTTACTACAACTTTTACTTTGTAAGTATGAAGAAACCATTTCAGAACTCTACTGATAAGCATTTTGACCTAGCTTACAATCTTAACCTTTTTCTAAAAATATCACATTCTGCAAACGGCTATCAGGTTTTGTGGGATAAGTGTTTTCTGCTTCTAATAATATCCTTAGTAACCATTTCTTCTCAGAAATGCAATTTAGACTTATTCTACAATCCATCAGCTACTCTCATCTACTCCATTCATTCTCTCTTGGAACACCTGCAATGGCAGACAGGTTGTTCTCCCCAAGGTGTCCTCTGATGTTGGAATTCTGTGTAGCCTTTTATTGCAGGTGTCTTGAAAGAAGATCATGTTGTTCTGAACTAAAAAAAAATTAAAGTATCTTCAGATTGTTAGGAGTGGAGTGTCTAACCTGAAGACTTATGAGTTTAGTGGTCTGCTTGGGATGGGGTATAGACCATTTTGAAAATGAATAAAATCTCAAGTCCTAAATGTGTCTGGGGAGTTGTGCATGGCACTAATGCTGTGTTATCAGATAACAAAAACTGTTGTCAGTCGAGATAAATTTTGGATCATGGGATGAGGATTTGCATTTGTCCTGTTTATAGGTAGCTGGGTGTGTTCAGGATTTTTTTTTATTACTGTATTATTATTTGTTTTGTTTTTCTCCTTGATTGTGACTTCTGGAATCTAGTTTTGAGGTAGCAATATACTAATATCTCAGAATACTCTAATGTTGCTTACACTTGGCCAGAGGGGGTCACACTTCTTGAAGCAGACTCGGTATAGGTAGAAAAATTACGTAAGAAATGACACTTGCCTGAAAGGATAGGCCATGGCTTACACACACACAAATATATCTGCTCATACACATGATCTTGATAAGTTTTGGTAAATCTATTGTTCCTTTTAGAGTAAAAAGCTACTGTTAACTACTCTTCCCCTCTTTTAAAAGGAGAACTAATTTTAAAATATCTCTGGTATTAAGGCATCATTTCATATCTAACCAGTGTCCCCTTTTTGTTATAGGCAAGATGTATCCAGTGACTTTGAAATAAACATAGAAGTTTACAGTTTGGTATGTACTTGTCTTTTTATTAAGAGGGCACTTGAATTTATGTACTCCATAATTCTCAAATATTTCTTGGTTTTACAGGTTCAGAGGAAGGAGAGCACAGGAATTGAGAAGAGAAAGAAGACAAATAAATCTAAGGTAAATGAAAATAAGAATTGCTATACTTGAGTTCAACAGAAACTAGACTTAGATCCAAAACAAAGGGAAAATGGAGCACGCGTCGGTTCTAATTCTGAAAAGGGAGAGATCAGATGCAATTACAAGTTATGTGGTATTGCCCTGGCTACTGAAATTTTAAATTTCAAATGTTGCTTTTCTCTTCTAGCAATTCTGCAAAGTGCCATGCATTCCAAACTTTCATCTAGCACAAGATATTTATGCCTCCTTGGTAACGATTCTCGGTGTACTCATTCCCTTTCCTATTTGATTTTTCATTCTCAAAATAGAAATTGTATGCCAGTGCCCTATTCATAGATTCATAGATGTTAGGGTCGGAAGGGACCTCAATAGGTCATCGAGTCCGACCCCCTGCATAAGCAGGAAAGAG